TTTTTGTTCCAACCTAAACATATAGCCTATTCTCACACCCAATCTCAGCGACATATCTCAGTGATAAGAACAACACGCTGTGTCTGAATAATGGCTCTTGTTTCTGGACTATGTGCATTCTGTATTCAAGTGTGTGCATGTGCAAATATGCCAGCTGTATACAAAACACTATAAGGTTTATATTCCAGATGAATCTTGAAGCAATGAAAAGATACTACAGCATGTTCCAGAGCAATCTCTATCTGCTGTTTCTACAGTCTATGGTCGATTACCACAAACAATAAATACCTGTTATTTAGACAAAAACAGAAAACCATAGAAGCCAGTGGGTGGTTGCTTCAGCACCTCAAAGGAATAGTCCGACATTTTTCAACCTAATGTCTACCTTCCACATCTGTAGTACATGGTTCATTACAGCACGCAATAGTTTCCCAGTATTTAGACAAAAACAGGATACCCATGGTTTCAAAATACACCTACAATACAAGTCAATAGGCAGTTGCTTCAGCACCTATGGGGGGTGGGGGGGTGCAGGTTAGGACCATAAACTAATATTAGAGCAGTGGTTTGTGCCAGGAGGAAGTGATGTCACTATGCCAAAAGAACAATGTTTATAAGAATTCTTAGAGTGGGCTTCTGGGATCGTGTGAATTATTCTAGTATCTAATTGTACAGTAGCTGTCGCTAATTGACAATAGTATCAGAAGGGGAGTGGGTGGCGATGGCAAGCGAAAGCTGCTTTCCAAAAATAAATAAATAAACAAAATGAATTGGCTGTTATTGTAACCTGTTATTATTATGCTATTTATAAAATTAATAGGCTTTATCTTTTTGTTTTCATTAACTTTGATGTAACCACAAAGTCAAAATCATTCAAGGGCTAGTTCATGTTTCAAAATATTCTGTGCATGGAAGGAGCTCTGTAGCACAGCTTTATGTGTTTAGCAAGCAAGAACAAGGAAAAAAAAAATGTTTAGACTGATATATAAACATGAACTACAACTTAATCATATTGATTATGAAACACATATGCTTTCCTTTTGTTCATTTTAAAGTTTTGAAAGGTGCATTCTGTGATATTTAAGTTATTAAACTTGATTAGTCATCATGATAGATAGTGTGTTTATGCTTCCATGAGCACATATCCAATGTCCAAAAGTCAGAGACCACCCTTCATTTATTTCATTTTCAGTCAAAATTATCAGTAAAGACACAGGGAACCTAAATCTGTGTTTTCTTTCTACTTAGGTAGAGCTTATATTTTCCATGCAAGCTTTGCTGGATTAATATAGCACTCAAGTTTAGTATCATACATACATTTTTTAATACTTTACTCTGTGTTCACTGGGACTTTACGTACAAGCTATTCATTTTTCAGGAGATATTTCTGAGGAGATTAACTAAAAAACAATGTGCTCCCATAATATACAGGAGAAAAACATTAGTTTCAAGACCTGTTAGACCACCAAAACTGTTCTGTTCTCAGTCTGAGTCCAGACCTCAACATCATTAAATACGTTCAGGATTACTTTGATCTTGAGAAGCAGAAAATGCAACTTACTTTTAAGACTGAACTTTGGATAAGACAAGAATGGAGGCTGTGATAAAGAAAAAGGGTGGGCACAAGAAATAAAATTAGATTTAGTTTTTGAGGATTTGTGTAATTTTCTCTTAAATATGTGTTTCTGCTTTTTGTCCTGATATTTAAAAAATGAATATTTTGTACTTATTGTACTTTAAAAGTAAATGAACGGTGGTCTCTGACCTTTGCGCAGTATCGTATATTTCTTTGTGTCTAAAATTGTGTGTATGCGTACAGGGTTATTTATTTATGTGCTTTATGTGTATTTATGTTATTTATGTGCTTTATATGAATTTATGTATCTACCCATACAGTACGACTAAAATGTAAAATGTATTTTTCCTGAGAGATGGTCACTGTCACTATGTCCTTGGTGTCATCTGTCCACTTCAATTCTCTGTAGTTGGACTGATGGCTATGAGTGTATCTTCTTGACTGAAAGGTGTGTGTGAAAACTCTTTGAAAGAAGGTTGCTGTCTGCCTGAAGTGTGCTGGATTTAGAATCATTTCAGGCTGCGCGCACGCTCCTGCCCTGCAGTGAGAGGCTGCTATGAAGGTCAGGGGAGCTAGACCGAGATGCTAAAGCTGCACTGATAATATACTTGCTAAAAGTGCAAGTGAATGTCAACATTTTTTCTCCTGTATGAGAGAGATATGAAGAAAAAATGCACCTACTTGTGTCTCTTTTCATAGCATTGGGGTAGGAATTACTAGAGGCTTCACAAAACAGTACTATCACTTACTTGAGCTAGGGTTGGGCAGTATGAAGGTAACAGGGTATAAGGTGTTATTTAAAAATGATGCCAGGGTTTAGGGGTGGGCAATGTGGGAAAAATATCATATCACAATACATAAAGACATTTTCATGATGCCCCAACAACACAATGCATTAGTAGTGCCACCAGTGGGTGGTGCTGATAGAAAGAGGGGAGAAATCACAGTCAGGATAAACCTCCGAAAAACTAAGCATCATAGCAGCTCAGCGACGGCTAAGAGCTACACACAAGAACATGTTTCATATCGACTTTCACTCTAACACTAGTGACTTGACTTTGCACTCTTAGATATCCTCTAAGCACCAATTAGTCAGAACCAAACCTGTACTGTGGTGTGTAGCAATGTCTGGGTCTGTAGCCTGCTTGCTAAGCTACCTAGCATAGCTGTTGTTGACTAACACATTTATTAAAATGGAGGCATATCTCTTCCATCTGACAGACGACTGAAAAATGCTCCAAATATTACTGCAGAAGATTTTGAGAATGAGTGTTCAAGTATACGTTGGGAAACATCAACGAGTAATGCTAACTATTACATACAATTTAATATATTATGATATATTGTGATCTATTACGTTTGACGTCAAATGATGCCCCTGAAAGAGAACACCTGCTCTTTTTGGACAAAGAAAACAATTCATTTTGGTATTCTTTTAGTCTACTTTGATGCACATGCAAATATTCCTTGTAAAATTGCATAAAACTGATACTAACTGATACTGTTTTTTCACTCAAAATATTGTGATGCTATGTTGTATCGATTTCCTTTACCCACCCCTAGGAAACACACACACACACACCCCAGTAGTGGAAAATCACACACATCTGACAACAATTACTGAAGTGCACTAACACAGGCACCACGTCTTGAATGGTGAGTGAGTGGGAGTTAATAAACTTTAATTATAGGCTCATAAGATTAATAAAGGCTTACAAGAGTTGAGGTCAGCGTTTAAAACGGTCTAATTGTCATAATTTTGTCATTACATTATATGATAATCAGTTGCATTTACATTGGATTTACATTCTGTGCTGACAGGTTTAAGTTTGCACTTCTGACTTTTCTCCATTTGCTTCCATGTCAAGAATTTAGCTTTATATCTCTTCTTACAAACACAATTATGTTTTCAGTCAAAAGGCTAGGCTCTGTTCTTTTCACAGAACTGCTCTTCTTTTTTTAATGAGGTAAGAGTGAGAAGAAAATCATAAAACGAAATCCTGCATTTGTTATCACTGGTATCACGGCTTATAAGGGCGGAATTTGATTTGAACATTTATGACTTGCTGTAGCGTTAAGAGTCCAATCCAGTCAAGTGACTGAACAATATGTACCACAGATAAGTTCCAAACATCCATTCATCCAACATCCAAGAAAATAAATTCCCTTTTGATATAAAAAAAGAAAAATAAAATGTTTCTATTTTTCCACTGAGATTTCATCTAAAGTGGTACTCTATCCAGGTACAATAGTCCATTATGCACTTTCAGGCATCTATGTTAAAATGTGCAATTTGTGCATGTTTATGTGTTTTCTTTGCTAATACAGAAGTGCATCTGTCTAAAATAGCTCTTTTTGGCCAAGCATTGGCTCGTCTAACTTCAGTTATTGCAGGAAGTGGAAGTAATTATAAAAAACTCACATTCACAGGGATGCAGGTGAAATGTATAGGAAATACACACCAAATATAGGGCTGTCAGAATTACTTCATAATACAATACATACAATACATTGTCTAATCTCAGTTATTTGAAATGATTACAAATATTTAAGCTGACCACAGTAATTTCCCACAGTTGTTAGATTTCACGATCATCTTACGCCTCAGCAAGCAAAATGCAAATTGAGTGTGTTGGGTTGACGCAAATACAGTGCCTTGCATTATGTTTGGGACAAAGGAATTTTTTTATTTATGCTTTGTACTGCACAGTATTAAAATTTTACTCAAACAATTCACATGTGGTTAAAGTGTAGAACTATTGCACTTTTTATATGTTGCCCTCTGTTCCATTTGGTCATTTTCAGAGTCTTGCTGTTTGACAATAAGAGGACCAGAGTTGTACCACGTCAAATAAACCATGATAAGGCTAAGAAACAAGAATAAAACAGTAAGAGGCATCAGCCAAACTTTAGGCCTACCAAAATCAACTGTTTAGAACATTATTAAGAAGAAAGACAGAACTAGTGAGCTTAGTAACCATAAAGGGACTGGTAGGCCAAGAAGGACTTCCACAGCTGGTGACACAAGGATTCTCACCACAATGAAGAAAAATCCCCACACATCTGTCCGACAGATGAGAAACACTCTTCATTTGTCAATGACTACTGTCTTCAGAAGACTTGAACAAACTGACAACATTAAAGGGACATTCTGTGAAAGCAAGCCTTTAAAGGGCATTAAATACCTTGGTCGTCTGGTTTTATCACCACCACTATGAACAATTCTGACTCTGCAATTTTGTTTACCTTTTTATGATTTAATTATGCAGACCTCTCGGAAAAATTGGAGGAATTCTCCCCTTAAAAAACATTTGGAGCTGCACATCCGGAAAAAATCCATTGATGATAAGAATCAAAACAATACTGAGGGAAAACAACATGATGATAGCTGCATACATACATACATAACTGAAAGTACACAAACCTGTAGTGCTAGGCTCTGGTCAAAGTTGTAGGCGCTGGGTCTTCCCTCCAGAGTGGAGAATGCTACGTTCCCTCCTGTCAGTGGAGAGATGTCACTAAACTCATCTGTACAGAGCGCTGTCCTCTCCTCCTCTCCAGGCCGGATGAAACCCTTGGAATCCCTCCTGTAGGTTTTACGGCAGGAAGCACTGTAGTACTGGTACGGTTGCCAAGGCGCTGTCTCGGTCGTACGCTTGTAGATGGCAAAGCTTTCTGGTCGGCTCGTGTAGAACTTCAAGCGGACATATGTGATCTCAAAGGCCTTACCTGGGAAGAGAGCACAGATCTGGAGTCAGCTGTTGTGTCTTTTTTGATAGTTTCTTACTTTTTTAAATGATATATCTAAATTCTATTCAGCTTTTGCAGTTGTAGTCATATCCTAGAAAACAAACAGATCACTGTCCCACAGAAATATTTTCATGTTTATTTAGAAACCATTAGTATTTTTAGTGTTCTTATTCAAAGACACTAAGCAGCTTAATAATTATCTAATAGTTTGTGAATGACTGTTAATAAATAAGTAATAGGTACATAGTCATTTATAAATGGTACTATATAAATTATTAATCATTGCTAAATTGCTTATTTTTGATAATTTTTTTTAATTAACGGAAGTAAACACAACCTCTAATACATTTTTTGCAAATGTTAATGCACAGTTACTTTGTGCATTAACTTTAAAATTAGAAAAAAAAATCATAGCATGTGATTGGACACTCTTCTAATTGTAAAGACTTAATTAACACTTTAGACCTCAATTGACTGGTTAGGACTAGTTAGGCAAGTCAAAAATTGTCCAGAAAGGCAAAGCAAAACCTGTGTAAGAAGGTTTAGCTGACACAGGAATGGTGGTGCACCATTCTACTCCGCAGCATTGCTTGCACAAATTTTGTTCTGTATGGAAGAATCATCAGAAGAAAGCCTAACCTACAACCTCATCACAAAATCAATGTCTGGATAAACCAGAGGCATTTTGTAAATAAGTGCCATGGAGTGATAAAGTAAAAATTGAACTCTTTGGCTACAATAACTAAAGGTATGTTTGAAGAAAAAAAGCAGAAGCATTTGATGAACAGAACACCTTCCCAACTGTTAAGCATGAGGTGGTTCTAGTATGATTTGAGGTTGTGTGGCAGCAAGTGGCACCTGAAACATTGCATAGGAGGATGGAAGAATGAATTCCACTAAATATAAATTCTGGAGGCAAATGTGGCTCAGTCTGTCAAGAGACTGAAACTAAAGCAGCTGACTTCTACAAGAGGACAATGATCCAAAACACACTTCAAAATCTTCCATGAACTACTTTAAGAAATGCAAGCTGAAACTTTTGAAAAGGCCCTCACAGTACCCTGACTTAAATATGACTGGAATTCTGTGGGTAGAGTTTAAACATGCTGTGAATGCAAGACAACCCAAGAATATTGCAGAACTACACATGTGCTGCAAGGAAAAGTGGTTGAAAATTTCTAAAATAAGAATTGCAAGACTGGCTGTCAGTCTTATATTTAACAAAAGAAGTGTAGAGCCATCATACCCATCCCTCTTGTTTTCATGGAAATAGTTCTTCAAGCCCATAAACACATCTGTTACTGCCTAATGACTATTGGCTATGCTTCTGAGAAAGTTCTGAACAGCATGATGGGGAGGAATTTGCACATGGTTCCTTGCTCTCCCTGTCTGTAACCTGGTTATAGAAACTGAGTTGAGTTTCTCTAAGAAGATGGGCATCTGCTTATTAGCTAGATGATCTATCTAAACAGGATATTTAGTTCTTGTGTTAGAACATGTCCATCCAGTTCAGTAAAGACCTTCAGTGCTTCTGTTTGCGTTTATTGTGAGGTTGCAATTCCAGAACTTTATCTAGGATCATGTAGGTCAAACTTGACAGCATTTTTCTTTTTAAGTGACTTGGGTGGCACTTTATTTTGAGTGGTGCTTTTTAGATGAAATAAACACTCAACAGACTCTCAGAAAAAAAAACAACAAAAAAAAACTACAACAATCAAGCAGCAGTGAATATATTCAGTAGATTATCAAGAGACTTTTAATTAACTGCAGAAATAAAATGTGTTTATAGTCTGCTGAATTCAGCTGTTTTGACTTTGTTAGGAGTTTCCAAATTCATATCTGTAGGTGTTTAACCTGACTGTTTAACATATCAACAACACATCTACTTAATGTAAGTAATGTATCAACAGTACATCTTCAGGATATTTACCTTAATGTATTCAGATGCTTTACTACTGCTACTTCACTGATATGTTGTTGATGTGTTCCTGATACTCTGTTAATAGTTTATTAATCATCTACAAAGGTCCACTCCAAATAAAGTGTTACCATCACTTGTCACAGAGAAAGACTGTCTCATGGCAGCTTTAAAGAAATGTAGGTCCAGGTGACTAACAAACAAGCTAAAGGCCACATCTCCCTAGGATCATGAGGAAGAAACACTAAGAGGAACCAAGATTTAATAAGGAAAGCCGTCCCTTTAAACCTTAATGCCAATAGCTAAACTGTCTACATACTTACAATAACCTGGCTCAATTAAAGTGACTTTAATTAACCCCAAATAAAGATCAGCTGTTCCTGTAGAATTTTCCTGACACCTTCTTGGTTGCATCTTACTCCAAAAACCGTGGTTTACAAACATCTTACAAAGCATGAATGGGATCTCATTGATGAAAGGTATCAATCAGGAGAGGGATACAAAAGAATACAAAAGAAAAAGGCATTAGATAAACCATGGAACACAGTGAGGATGGGCATCAAGAAGTGGAGGAAATATGGCACAACAGTGGCATTACCAAGAGACAGACTTGCCAAAAGTTAAAAGAAGACAAGGGGAAACTGGTCAAGGAGGTTGCCAAATGGCCAGCGGCTACAATAAAAGATTGATTGATTAAAGGAGCTGCAGGAATTTCTCGCAAGTACTCGTTGCTCCCTACATGTGACAAAAAATCTCCCGTACTCATCATATGTCTGGGCTATGGGGTAGGGTGGCAAGACGGAAGACTTTTCTCACAAAATAACATCCAAGCCCAGCTAAATGTTGCACAAACATAAATCCAGTCCCCCAAAAACAATGTGGAAAAATGTTATGGTCTGATAAGACCAAAGTTGAACTTTTTGGTTATGAATCCAAAAGGTATGTTTGCGCAAAAATAAATCAGCAAATCACTAAACGAACACCATACACATGGTGAAGCATGGTGGTGGCAGTATCAAACACTGGGGCTGCTTTCTTCAGCTGCAACAGGGGCTTTATTCAAGCGAATCATGAATAGATCTTAATAGTAGTCAATTTTGTCACAAAACATTCAATCATCTGCTAGAAAGCTGCAGATGAAGAGGAATTTCATCTTTAGGGGTGTGCAAACTTATGTTTCTGATTGTTTTTCTCTTTAAGTTCAACATGGAAACATGTCTGACATGATTTATCTTGGTTTCTTTTTTGTTCATCACAAAAACCTTCCATTTTTTATAGGGGTGTGTAGACTTTCCAAGAATAAAATAGAAAGAATTAGACAGTTAAGCTGTACTAAACAAGACGTCATCAGGAGAGCACTCAAAATGCCAGAAAAAGGGGCACAGAAGAGGAGGGAAAGGAGAGAAAGGAGGAGGACTTCTAAAAAAAATAAAAGCACAAGAAAAGTGTAGAAAATGGGCCCTTACTTTCTACAGTACACACTAAAATTATTCATTTAGACCCAGTGTCCAAAAGCCTGTGGAAATAGACCTAATACCATGTAAATATATCTCATAAAATGAGAATCGGAATGTAACGGTTGTAGGAAGAACCCTTAAATTGATATAGAACTTTGATTATGCAAAAGTCCTTTAGGCTTTTAAAAGGTTCTTCACGATCACAAACCTTTTACAAACATTGTTTTTTAGGCTTTGCACAAAAAAAAAATCTTTTCTGGCACCTTTTCATTTTAAAAGTCTACACAATGTACAAAACACGCCATCCACACACTGTCAGCCGGTACAAACTGAGCAATATTGTGAGTGTGGTAAATTCTTCCTTAGATCTATGAGAAAGTTTATGGAACATCTGCGCCTCTTTATCTTTTATGAGCCATGCTGTGAATGTGTTATATGTCTCAGTTTATTTTGTCTCCTGTCACAGAATGTTATTGTTATTCATGTTAGAACTGTAAATAAAACATGACCAGCTACATTTCCCATGTCCAAGTGGGAGGCCAGTGAACAGGGACAGTGGAAAATGATGGGATATTTCAAAGCTAGTGTAGGGAGGATCCTGCCTACTTCTTGCTCATGCCATTATACAAAAAAACAAATGACTGCAAAACACAAGGGGTGCATATGAGAGAGTCCTCAATGAATGGGATTGCGTAGAGCTGATTAATCATAGACATAGTGCTACTCTTTGCTGTGTTTTCTTTGTTTCGGTTTATACTTGGTTTTCTTGGTTTTCTCAATCTGATAAATGGAGATACAGTTGTAAATCGCCAAGCTTTGGTACCTTTTTACGTCAACTTACACTGAAAATATAAACATAACTAGATAGCATTTAGCTAGGACAATTAAAGAGCTTGACCTAAACATTTCGTCGCTGTCCAATGAAAAATATGTATCTCCATTTTTTGCAATTTTTATTTTTCTGCATCATTTGAGCTCAGCAGCTGTCCTTTACAATGTGTGAAAAGTCCATGATGATTGGACCAATAGAAATGCTTCAGAACAGCTTAGAATAAACTCTCTTTCCATTAACTTACATTGAAAGTAAAGAACGTTTTTGCCCTGTCCTGTAAAGTTGCTATTTTGGAGATACTTCTTTGGACAGTGATGATATGTTCTACTTTTACATATAAATATCGCTACAATGTTTGTCATACTTGAAATGATGTTTGGTTAAATGTCTATATTGTAATAAATTGTTACATTTTGATTACTTACATCAAATACATTTTGGCTAATAGCATGGCAGCTACTGAGTGCTGATTTGCTGGCATGCAGATCAGCTCACTGGCTGTGTAAAATGGTTCACCTCCACTGATGTCACAAATACAAATAAACCACTGTTACATAGCCCTAAAGCTGTAGTTGAAAGCCTTTAAAATTGACAGCAGTTTTAAAATATTTCAGGCAAGGAAACCATTTACAGATTAAAATGTTGATCTGATCACCTCTAAAGAGATAACTGAGTGAGAGTCATCCCTAACTAGAAAGTCCGCAAATACATCACAACTCCCCTAACTATAGCTTTGCTCAATGCTGGCTTCACCCTTCCTTGAGGCAAGTTC